AATAGAAAAGGAAATTTCATACACATCTAAGTTACAGTGTAAACCATGGAAGCAATAGGACTTTTAAAAGTTTTATGTAATATCTGGTGTAAATATTTGAATATTTATTTTGTTCATTTGCTGCAGAGGCTGATTACAGTCTTGCTTCTTTGATCTGCCCATCACTGTGTTGTCTCATTGTGTGCTTTGCTCCCCATGACCGCACAGCCTCTATACAAATGCATTTACCATCAAATGATGCCTTATTTAATTTTGCTTGTTACTACATTTTTCCTGGCTTGCTGTGTTCTTTTGTATAGTGCTGTGATGAGATGGGAGTATACATATAGATTGGGAATTGTGCTAAATCTGGATTTCCAAGGACAATATCAGCATCAGCTGGGGGCTTATTATAGTTATTTGATGTGTTTTGCTTACTTTTTAAGCTACAGGCCTCTTGAAAATTGTTTCCCATGTAGCTTTTACTGAAAGGAGTATATTGGATTCCTTATCATAGTGATTTCTACACATCTTCTAACCTTTCTTTTTGAAATGAAGGCACACTCCAGGGTCTTATAGCATAGCTGGAAAAGTTGAATTTAGGTTTTTTTTTTTGTAATTTTTTTTATTAGTTCAAATTAGGAACAAGCTTACTTCACATGTCAATCCCTTCTCCCTCACCCTCTCATTCTCCTTCCCCAACCCTCCCCTCAACCTCCCACTTGCCCCCTACCCCATCCACCCTCCACTCCCCAGGCTGGGTAGGGCCCTCGACAGGGACTCCCCAAAGTCCACCACATCATCCTGGGACTGGCCTAGGCCCTTCCCCATGTGTCCAGGGATGGGCTCTTAAGATCCCTTCTTACACCAGGGAAAAAATACTAATCCACTACCAGGGGCCCCCTAGAGTGCAGAGGCCTCCTCATTGACATCCATGTTCAGGAGTCTGGAACAGTCCCGTGCTGGCCTCCCAGCAGCAGTCTGGGGTCGATGTGCTCCCCCTTGTTCAGGCCAGCTGTTTTTGTGGGTTTCACCAGCCTGGTACCGACCCCTTTGATCTTCATTCCTCCCTCTCTGCAACTAGGTTCCAGAGTTCAGTTCCGTGTGTATATCTGTGGGTGTCTGCCTCTGCTTCCATCAGCCACTGGATGAGGGCTCTAGGATGGCATAAAAAGTCATCATCAGTCTCATCATAGGGGAAGGGCATCATAAGGAATTTAACATTTTTATATGGAAAAGTTAACATGTTTTCAATTCTGCTAGGCACCCCAAAAACTTTAGCTGTAAAAGCAAATGAGACATTTTTTTCTTAGTTGAATTAAAGAATTATTTTGAGGAATTTATAATTAATTTGTAAGCAATGTCTGAACAGATTACCATTGATGCACTAAAGACAATTGTGGGACCAAGTGATCCTACTCAGAGAGACTGGGGACAGGAACCTAGTGAACCCCAGAGAGGCTGGGGATGGGGACAGAGACCTAGTGATTCCCTACTCAGGGAGGCTGGGGATAGTGACATGGTGCTCCCCACCCAGAGAAGAGTGGACTGTAGAGTTTGGTTTTTCCACATCAGCAGAGACCTTGAGTGACCATTAGTTTTTATGTAGAGCCTAAAAACCAGATTCCAAAGATGTTTTCTTTTTTGTTGACTAATGCCCAGTTGTTGTTTTCTTGTATCAAGGCATGCTGTTAATGGTGTTTACTAGATTAGAGTTTTTGTCTTTTCTGCCTGTTGTTGATTGCCTATAGTACAAGAGTTCCTAGTATACAGGCAGAACACATAAAGTGTACAGGAAATAAGTGAACACAGATATCTTAAGCAAGGAGAGGTTGAGGAGTGGGGCTGCAGCTCAGCAGTAGAGCACTTGCTGAGGAGTCATGAAGTTCAGGGTTTGCTCCCACAACTATATTAGCTTTGGAGATTTCTCTTTACTCAGAAATAATTGAATAGTTGTACTCTAATGAAATATTGTCTTAATAGGTGTAATTGTTTTGGCACTTTCAAGATGTGCCACATACTTCACCATTCACTCAGTTGGCAGTGTTCCTCTTTGACTCCCATAACCAGTGATCATTTCCAGGTCTGGTGTAACCTGAATGATAACATGTCTGTTATCTGTCACATGGTTCATATAGCTCTCAGAAATCCTTGATTTTGTCTCTATCTGCTTTCCTGAGGTGTAGCTTGCTTCATTTTTTAGTCTTGATTTTAGTAATTTCTAGGTATGTGTAATATCCCTTTAAGCATTTCTCCTACTTAGCTCCCATTTTTATGGTTGTTACAGAATAATTATATGTGTCATCCAAGTATTCTCAAAAGTTTTTTCTAATAAATTTTCTGTCGATCTGATAAATTATTCTTGATTAATTTTTGAGACAGCATTTCTCTAGGTTGCCCGGGCTGCCTTGGAGCTCTGTGGCTCAGACAGTCCTTGAGCTTGCAGTGCTCCTGCTACAGTCTCCGAGTACCTGGGATTACAGGGCTGCACTGCTCACACCATGTATTTTGAAAGAATAATTTGCAGATGGGTTATATGTTAACTGTGTCTGCTTGTGTTATTCTCTTATTGTATAGGACATATTATGCTTCCTGATTTTACCAGAATCCCACTAGTGTAGTATGATGCTGTCTCATATTTCTGTATCTTCCCCTTCCTTTGTGTTATGATCATAATATACCTTGCTTCTGCATATATTATAAACACATTGGCATCTGTTGTTTTCTTTTTGCATTAAACTATTTTAAAATTTTATTTATATTATCATATTTCACATTTTTGCAGTTTTTCATTTATTTCTGCCTAAATTTTACCTAGGCTAGAAGCAGCACGACCCTTTTCTGAATCTCACAGGAAATTCTTGATGATTTGTATGTTTGTTCTATATGATCTTATAGTGTGCACATTAGATTTCCTCTGTCAATTCTGTTTTTCTGGTAAGGATTGCCATTCAGTACATTTTAAATATCTCCTAGTTAGCACAGCAGTATGAACAAGGCAAGCACTGGCCACTCTGTAGATAGTTGGGATGACTGGATTGTACTCCTGTGTCAGCACAACACAGCAGTGCTGGACTGAGCTGCGCTGCTGCACCTTTCTGCGGCTCCTGCACTTCTTCCCATGGCTTGTTACATCCTTGAGCCAGCACCCTTCAAGAAGCACATTGAAACTGAGGTGCCTGCACTCTACAGCAGAAGCATCATAAATCACAGTTGTCATTTTTACCATCATTTACTTACAGGTTTAAGTTTACTCAGAACCAAGTGATTTTCCTTTAAAACTTGAGGGTGTGCATGTACATGCATGTCCAATATGCATGTGTGTGGTATGTTGAATATATGCAGGGAGGTTAAAGGATGACAGGTGTTCTGCTCTCACTCTTTGCCTTATTCCTTGAAACAGTCTCTTACTAAACCTGAAGCTAGGGTGGAGGTCAGGAAGTCCCAGCTATCTATCTCCTTGCCTCTCCTCCCACCTCCTGCAGTGTGCTGGGGTCACAGGCTCAGAAGGGACTAAGAATTTGAACTCAGGTTTTTAATGTGTGCATCAAGAATTTTAGAACTGAGTCATCTCCCTAGCCTAGCATTGTTTTAGAAGTAGCCCTATGGAAAGTAGGCCATCCAGAAATACCTTCAGCCTTTTCCGCAGGGCACTCACTCTCTGTTGGCTATATAATGCTGGAAGCCACAAGATCCAGGGTCCAACTGGCCCTAGGCTCCCCAGTGAGTCTGGATAAGATGAATCCTAGTGGCACCTGCAGGTCTCACTCAGGTTGGGGAGAAGAAGGAGGAGGCCAAGTGAGCCAAGATGGAGAAGAGAGAAATGAGATTCCGGCAACTTCTCTGGCCAGTCAGGGAGTACGCTGAAGTCTTAGAATGAGTTCTGTTTCCTTGAAGGGCGTAGCCCTTCAAGATGGCCCAGTGACCATCTTCAGCCTTGCACACTGATGTATGGTTATATGTTTCATTGGCTCTCTGAGGCTGGGCTCTCCATGAACATGAAATAAAGATTCAGTGGGCATTCTTTAATACTGCTACCCACCAGACACTGGGCTGTCATCCATTTTTCTTTCTTGCCTAGACACAGCTGGAAGGGTATCTGGAAGCGTGACAGCTATTTCCTTCAGCCCATACAGAATACTAAAATTTGAATAAAATAATAATGCTATTCCCTAATAATGTAATTATCTGCTCTGAAATAAATCCCTGTTCTGGAAGCTGGATCATTATTGATCATTTTCAATCTGGTAACCTAGCTCTTGGTCTTTTGTATTTTACCTCAGAACAACTTGGCTTTTCTGTTCGTGGTTGGTTTGTTTGTTTCTTGAGACAAGGTCTTGCTATGCAGTTCTGACTCATATAGAAGTCACAGTGTAGATCAGGTTGACTTTGAATTTGTGCTAATCCTTCAGCTCCTACCTCCTGAGTGCTGGGATTGCAGGTCTCCAGCACTACATGCCATCGACACATCTGACTAGTGTTTGTTTTTGTAAACATTGTTTTCATTTGTATATAACACTGGGATCTCTAAAGCTCTGACCATTAAAAAACAAACAAACAAACAAAAAACAAACAAAAAAACAAAACTGAAATACCAAACAATTAGAAGATGAAAATTCCATTTTGGATTGCTCAGATTTCACACAGTATAATACCTAAAACTGAAATTTTATCTTGTATTTATGTGTTTTAGAATAAACATTAAATGCCTTTTTTTTTTGCCTAGAATAAACATTAAATGTCTTTTTTTTTTTTTTTGACATTGGTATAAAGTTGACTTCTTCGAAAGACCTTTTTAAGTGATTTGGATTTTAGAACATCATTTTTTAAGAGGTAACCAAATGAATGATTGCTTTTTTTAAGTAGAAATGCAATTTGAATGGTAGATAATGGAAAGCTGCAAAAGTACATCTCACTCTAGTATGACCAGTATCAGGAGGTGCTGCGACTATTGCTCCTTGTGTTGGAAATTCACTCTGTAATCCATGTTTTCTGCCTTATGTTTTTGTATATTACTACAGCTAAAGAAGTAAACAGGTCATGGCACGTTTAACAAAAAGACGACAGGCGGATACAAAAGCTATCCAGCATCTTTGGGCAGCCATTGAAATTATAAGGAATCAGAAGCAAATTGCCAACATTGACCGTATTACAAAGTAAGTAAATTTAAACAAGCAAGCAAACAAAAAAGTAACTGTAAAAGTTCCCAAATGCCTTATCCCTTATGCTGTTCATACATTACAAAGAACTAAAGTTATTTTTGCCTTGCAGAAGAATACAGAAAAAGAAACTAACAGAAACATGTATAGACAATTTGTATTTAGAAGTCATGTAAATAAATACTAGATAAATAAAAGATCACTATGTTCTATTTATAGTAGTTTTCAGTTATACATATTTTGGCTCTTAGAGACTTTTATTTAAAAGGTTTTATAGTAACTTGCTTTATTGTAGTGAAGCTGTCTAAACAAAATCTATTGCTCATGGCTTATTTCAGTGTAAGATGAACATGCTTTGTCTAGTAAGTACCATTTTTTAGTACTTTTTAACCCACTAGCAGAAATTAGGTTGAATGCACATTCAGTTTAAAAAGAAAATTCCCCTTTCTCCTTAATTTTTAATGCTATTTGTTTTAGTAGACAAAGATTCAGTATAGGAAAACAAAACAAAAAACTCCAAACAACCTAATAGTTCTTTTTACTTATTTTGTACTGTGAAGGAGTCTTCAGTTAGGAATTTGATTTAGTTTTATTTATTTCTTCAGATGCTTTTTAAAAAATAAAGCTAAAGTTACATTTTAAAAGCTTACATGATTTTTTTTATTAATTAAAATAGAATTTTATTATGCTTGTTGCCCTCCATTTGTTATTTGGTGTCTATAAGAATTAAAAGCCCAATGATCTATAAAGGCTTACTTCTGCAGTGCTTTGGGACCCTTACTAATAGCTAATACAGTTGAGCTCCATGCATATATGTAAAAGGAGTTCTTAATTGGTCTAGATAATAAAAAGCCAGAGTCAGATATAGAGGGGAATGCTGAGAGATCAGAGAGAAGGAGCAAGCCACAGCATACCTTTCCCCCTAAGCGTCTCAGCAGAGAAGAGAACAATTTCCTGTTTCTCCCTGCTTATATCCTGTTTCTGCCAAGCTACGTCACTTACTGTCTGTCTGTACAGACTTTCAGACCTCTATGGTTAGCTAGTGGCAAGCTCCATTCTCTTATCCCCAGACAGGCTTTATTTGTGCAAGAAAGATATCACCACACATATTTACATTGTCCCCAGATTGAGACAATGGGGCTACCTAAGATAGCAGGACCAGGAGATAGGCAGGAAGCCAACTGTAGCTCTGCCTCCTGTGTGTGTGGGAGAGTATGGAAAGGGGGGCTAAAATTGCTTTAATTATTACTTAATTGCTATTTATTTTTAAAAAGCAATCATTTTGAGGTATGGTAATTAAGTACAGAATTAGGGGGATGAGTTTTCAAAAATCTCAGGCTGTGGATGTAACATAGGTCAGAGGTAAACCTAGGCCTCACCCTTCACAGGTGAGGCCTAGGTTCAATTCCCTTCACTAGGAAACAAATCTCAAAGAAGATCTGTAAAAGACATAGCTGAAATGTTTGTAACAGAACATTGAAATTAGAAAATAAGATACTGTTGTTTGGATTGAAATTTTAAAGCATGTAAATTTGAACAATTTCAGTTTCTTAGACAATTACTTCTCTTTCTCTATGGGGTGTTTCTTGAGCAACTTAGTACAACCACCAAGAGCCCCAGGAGTCTCGAGAGTGCTACTGCTGCTGTAGCAGGAAGAGGATGAATGCCTGTAGTGGTGGTGCGTGTGTCTGCTGGCTACTTAAGACGAGTGTGTGTGTGTGTGTGTGTGTGTGTGTGTGTGTGTGTGTGTGTGTGTGTGTGTGTGTGTGTGTGTGTATGTGAAACCAGCAAAAGACACAGAGGTAGTCATTGGGACAGCACACATCTCCTTCTCATTATGGACCATTGATAAGATTTCATTTTTCTCTTTTCTTCATCAATTTAACTTTGAATTTCTTAAGCTCTATAATTCTTAAACATAAATTTGTCTATCTGTCAAATGGTGATGGATCTATAAGTCTCATCTGAAAATGGAAGCAGAGGATCGTCTGGGAATTGCACAACCTAGTGTCTTTGCATCTTGACTGATGCCAGTTCCCTTGATGTCCCCTTGCCCAAGGTTGGCTAGGAAGCGGCGCTGGTGGTCTTCTGTGTGGTCTAGGTTTTCTGCTCTGCACTGTTAGAAGTTCCATAAATTTTGAATCAAGCTACTCTGCATAGTTGATGTCAGAATACACAGGTATTTCTCCCCCGCCTCCCCTTTTTTTGAAACAGGGTTTCTTTGTGTAGCTTTGGAGCCTGTCCTGGAATCGCTTTGTAGACCAGAATGGCCTTGAACTCAGAAATCTGCCTGCTTCAGCCACTACCACCCAGGTAAAAAAAAGATTTATGTAGTGTTCTGCTGGCTTGTATGACTGCATGCCAGAAGAGGGCACCAGATTTCATTATAGATGGTTGTGAGCCATTATGTGGTTTCTGGGAATTGAACTCAGAACCTCTGGAAGAATACCCTGTGCTTTTAATCGCTGAGCCATCTCTCTAGCTCCTAAAGATGGCATTCTTAGTGGATGTCTGTGGAGACTTCCTAAGTGCCATTTGGAATTCATACACCAAATGTTTGACATGCTTACATCCAGACCTCCTATAACCTAATGTTATCAACATTTCTGTACATGCTTGCACACGTACTATGGTTTATTTTTATTTAGCATGCTGGATTTTATTTTCCTGTAGTGTATCTGTGATTTCCTGTGCTTTTTATTTTAGTTTTGATATTTCTCTGCTTTTTAGCAGTGGTGTGGTCTGCTCTGTATTCCTGCACTCATGTGTGCCTTCTGGGTTAGATATTTTATCTAGAGGTTTCATTCTTGTTCTGATCATTGTACTTGACCTGACTTCTGAAGTGCTTTTCTTCATTTACTTTAAAGTTTTGGACTCAGTTTTGAGTTTTATCTACTTTTGATTTAGTTTTTGTAGCTTGTTGACTTCCTGTCTTACCTTGCATTTGAAATAGTAGATTCTGGTTTTCCTGTTTTTCAGGAGAATCTTCTGAGTATGTTCTTCCTCTTTAGCCACCATGTTTCATTTGGATTTGAAATCATTTCTTGAATTTGCATTAGATATGCGTCTCTAAAGTTCCTTTTCATGCCATTTTTAAATCGGCATGAAAACGGTTCCCACACCACAAACTATCCTAGCATGCAGAGCATCCTTTTACCTGACTCCATCAATATAGGTATTTTAATTCCTAGTATTCCACTAAACATGGTGTTTTTTCCTGAAAGGGAGCTTTGGCTACTTAATTTGAGCATCTATAGTGCATATTATTCTCCTTCTCTTTGAGTATGTGAAATTCCCTATGGTTGTCACTGCTCTTCTGAGATTGTCCTGGGCTTTGGAGTGAAAAGCTATTGGCCTTTTAAAAATGTACCCTTTAAAAAAAGATTTATTTATCTTTATTTATGTAAATGAGTTTTTGCTTGTGGTATGTTTGTACACTGTGGGCATGACTGGTGTTTACGAAGGCCAGAAGAGGACCCCAATCCCCTCAACTGGAGTTAAACTGGCCTGTGGCTGCAGAGGTCTGAATCTGTGTATTCTACAAGATCTATTGACCACGGAGCCATCCCTCCTTCCCTGTACATCCTGTTGGGCAGTCCTCTTTAGCTGGCAGTGCCAAGAGTCATTGTAACTCTGGGAAAGATGTCCTCACTTGCTTAGAAAAAGGACAGTATCTAAGAAACGGAAAAGGGCTTCTGAAGAGATGCCCTCAAGGTATGATCTCAACTGAACTCAATAAACCATTTTTACATTTGTAGGAACTGATGTTTAATTATCATAAAACTCATATGAATCATTATTTTATTATAAATAAGACTAGAGAGTTTTGATTATCTGTGGAGATGGCTAGAAAAGTAGCTCTCTTTGCCTGAAGTATCTGTAAGTGTATGGGACAGTAGCTGTCTCTTGTGTGTAGCTGTTTTTATGACAAAGCTTGGGAACATTTGGCCCCAAACATTTATGTTAAGCAAGTATTTTAAAAACATTCATGTGTTTAAGATGATGTGCATTAGAGTTAAATCAAGACACAAAAGATGAAGAATTCTGTGAGTAGAAGCGATCACAGAAGTGAAACTTACATTTTGAATCTCTGAACTGTGACAATTCCTAACTCATTGTTGCCGAGTCTTCAAATGCTCTGGGCATTATATACTGCAAGAAAGATAGGTGCACAGGTCACCTTCTTTTTCTCCTTCATTCACACAGAGTACTCACAGCTGCTTTGGATGGTTATAACATGGATTATTCTTAGTGCATATTAGCAGCTAGTTTAACCCATGCTGATGAAGTTAGTGTAGATTATACTTGCCTTTACTAGCATTACTGGCTAGGCAGGATGCTTAAAATAGGGACATTTAATTTCTGTTGTCTGCTAGAGAGACAGTAGTCATTGGCCAGGTTTCTTCCATGCCTTTAGCATTTGACTCTGCATTCCTAGGTTATTTGGATTGGTGGAGCTCATTTCACTGAGTTAACAATTAATTACATGTATTGCTTCCTTTAGGGTCAAATCCCAGTTAGGAAGTGTGGCCTCTGACCTCTTGTGACATGTTTGGCATTGACATTTCTGAGTCCTTCTGGACTTCTTGTCTTACAGACATACTTAGACCTGAACTATAAGTCCTTCTTGTGTCTAGGCTTCCTTGTGAGGATACAAGTAGATGCACATTTCTTATTTGCTAAGATTCTGTGACACCTAGTTTCTAGGAATTATGTGAAATTTTAGTGTGTCTCTCTTTGTGAGATTTTATTCCCTTGGGATCATCAGAGAGGAGGAGGAGAATGAGCATTGCCTAAAGAAGCTCTTCAGAAATATGTTAGCTTTAGAAACTGCCATCTACTCTCACTGCTCTGGTCACAGGGTCTCAGGTGTCCTTACAGTGTTACTTCTGCATCCTCATCTCAGTTTCTACCAACTCTTTTTATGTATCTGAGGGATTTGTAGACACACATTATCACTGTTACAGTTACAACTTCTCATTGGGCATATTTATAGG